AAAGATCAGAGCCCGGAAGAGCCAGGTGATAAAAATCAAGGATATATATCATCCAGGAATGGAACAAAGAGAGAGGAGAAAGATAAAACCAAAATGGATGGTAGATGAAAGCTGAAAATTGCATTACTGCATTGAAAAGCCAAAACAAATTAAACAGTTGCCGAAGTAAAAGAGCTAAACAGAAGATACCAAAGGGCAGTTTGAGAAGACTGTATTTTAATAAAATGTGCAAATACTTGCAGTCAGAGAATAAAAAGGTGGGGAAACTCACTCAGTATTTCTCAGTCTGAAAGAACTGAAAAGCCTTGAGTTGCAATACTGAGAGTTTCATGGGCAAAATCTTAAATGATCCAGGAATCATCAAAAGAAGATGGAAGGAAAACAGAATCACTATACCAAAAAGAATTGATTGGTATTGAAACATTTCAGAAGTAGCATATGAACAAAATCCAGTGGTAAAAAAGAAAGACATTCAAGCTGTAATGAAGTCACAGACAGAGTCCCCAGGAATAGATGAGATACCTACCAATTGACATGTTTCATTCAACTAACAGATGCCACCCTGGACTTGCTCACCGATCTATGTCAGGAAATTGGAGGATAGTTGCCCGATTGACCAACTTGAAGAGATCATCCCAAAAAAGAGTGCTCTAACAACAGAATGTTGAAATTATCATACAGTTCCTCAATATCACATGCAAGCAAATATTGCTAAGGTTTATGCAAACTTGGCTAGAATTGACATGGAACTGCCAGAAGTTCAAATGGGACACAGAAGAGGCTGTGGCACCAGGGATATCATTTCTGATGTCAGATGGATCCTGACTGAAAGCAGAGACTATCACAAGAATGTCTATTTATGCTTTATTGACTATGCCAAGGTATTTGTGTGAATCATAACAGATTATGGCTAATATTAAGAAGAATGAAAATCCATAAACTTAATTGTGCTCATATGAAATCTATACCTAGACCAAGAAGCTGGTGTCTCAACAGAGCATGAGAACCCTGCATGATTTAAAATAAAGAAAGTGTGTGTCCACAAAGTATCTTTTCTCCATATCTGTTCAGTCTGTTTGCTAAGCAAATAATACGTAAAGCTGAACTCTATAAGAAGGAATGGGCCCAGCAACAAAGCACAGTTCAGCAGAGCAGCAAGTATCAAATGACTGGTGAGGTTGTAGAGAGAACCGTTATTCACTGCTAGTGGGAGTGTAAAATGATACAACCCCTCCAGAAGGCAGTTTGGCACTTTCACAAAAAGCTGGAAATGGAAATACCTTTTGACCCAGCAGTTGCACTACTGGGAATATACCCTAAAGAAACCAGGATGACATCCAAACAGATAATTGCACACTCATGTTTATTGCCGTGTTAATCACAATAGCAAAGAGATGGAAACAACCCAAGTGCCCTTCAGCAAACAGAAGAACTATGCTCTATTCACACAATGGAATACTGCGTGGCACTGAAAAATAATGAACCCATAAAACATTGCACAGCATGGGTGACCCTTGAGGACAGTGTGCTGAATGAAATATCTTAGTCTCAAAAGGACAAATGCTGCATAACACCACTGTTAAAAAGCAGGACTGATGTGGGGGTTGGGAGGAGAACAGGAAAAGAATGGATCGATAATGAACACTGTATTGAAATAGATGAAGGAGAGAACTGTTTAAAAGAAATGGTTAGGCATTATATGTAAGACAGCAGTCCAGAATAAGAGGTACATTGCAGAAAGGACTGGGGAGGGGAGAATTGTGCAATAGTGAATAAGTGAAAATCCAACTTTTTGGTAAACTTTTATTAAAATAGCAATTAAAACTAAAAATATTATTATTCAAAAAATAAAAGGAATGTGGCATCAGGATCAGAGGAAGACTCATCAACAGCTTGCATTATGTAGATGACACAACCTTGCTTGCTGAAAGTGAGGACTTGAAATGCTTGCTGCAGCAGATCAGGAGCTACAGCCTTCAGTATGAATTCTATCCCAAGATCAGAATGACCAAAAAAATGCTCATCACCACACCAGTAGGTAACATAATGAAAAAGGATTAAAGTGGACAGTGATTTCATCTTATTTAGATCAGCAATCAACACCCTGGTCCCAGCATTCAGGAGACAGACTGAATTGTACAGGTTTGCTGTCAGGAATCTCTCCAAAATACAGTGATACCAATAAATACAATGAAAAGCAGTTATACGAGTCTGAATACTAAAGTGTGCCTGATTCAGGCCATGGTCTTCATTTAAATACTGTGCATCTGAGACCAGGACAGTGAATAAGAATGATAGAATTGATGCTTTTGAGTTGTGTGGGGGAAGAATACCAAATATCCCTTGAACATCCAAAAGATGTAACAAGTACGACTTGGAGAAAGAGCCAAAGTGCTCTTTGTAGACAAAGATGGTGAAGCATCATCTCTCATACTTAGCATGTTTGCTAGGCTGTTCCTTGGAAAGGGAAATTATTCCTTGAAAGGTATAGAGTCACTGACAGAGAGGAACCCACTCCCACCCAATGAGATGAAAAGATGCAGACAACAGCAATGAACTCAGGGGTGTCAGAAATGGTATTTATTGCATGAGAGGGCAGGATTCTATGAACTGCTCATAGGGTCACTGAATTATATTCTCAACTCAGTGGCACCTATAAACAACCATTTGTGAGGGAAACAACCTGAAAAAAGAAGAAAAGGAAATGAAAGAAGCATAAGAATTATATAGTTCAACACCAAGAGTAGTTGTTGTTGTTGTTGTTGTTGTTGTTGTTGTTGTTGTTGTTGTTGTTGTTGTTATGTGCTGTCGAGTCATTTGCCACTCATAGTGACCCTATGTACAACAGCCCTAAACCCTGCTCTATCCTGTGCCAATCGCACTGTCTC